CATCAAGTCGATTTTGACTCCTAACAATCCCCACTGGGTTTCAGAGGCAGCAAATCCTTACAGAAGTAGATTGACCAGTCTTCCTTCTGTGGAGCGGCTGGTAGGTTTGAATCTCCAACCTTCTGGTTAGCAGTCAAATGCCTTAGACACTGCAGCAGTAGAGCTCTTTGGGCAAGGTAGGGTGGGAAAAAAAACTAGTCAGTTGCTATTGAGTCCGTTCTGCCTCATGCCTTCCCCTCATGTGCAGAGTATAACTGCTCCATAGACTTTTCATAAACAGTTCTCCACACCAGGCCAGGCCTACCTAAGGTGACTCTGAGTCAGTTTGAACCACCCATCTTTCAGTTAGTAGCTGAGGGTTTAACCATTTGCACCACCCAGGGACTGTGTGTCACTTAGCAGGCCTGAAAACAAAGCTTTACTTGCTTGGAAATACATTCAATCAGGTTTCTCCACCTCAGCACAATGGAGATTTGAGGCCAAATCATATTCTGTGGTGTGGGCTGCCCCATCTATTCTGTTACGTGAGAGACATTAAAACACTGAAGAGAAGCTGTAGGAGTGTAGGTGCTATATGCATGTGTGTATACATGTGTATGTGCCTGTGGGTACACGTGCCTTGTGTGTGCATGTATGAATGCTTGTGTATGTGAATGTGTCTGTGCATGCACATCTGCATGTATATGCATATGCGAATGTATGTGCACATGTATATACAATGTATGCACGTATGTGCACACTGGTGGTTTTTCCATGTGTGTGCATGTGCATATACAAGGTGACAGTGATTTCAACTGCGCACCCCCTAACGTTTCAGTTGGGCACCTCTGTAGGTCTTAGCTCCGCAGCCAGCTCCTAAGAACAGATGCTCCACTCCTAGTCTAGGATGGAACAGAAAGGTGATAGCTGGTGTTTTGGGAGGAGGGAGACAGGGGCAAAGGTCCACACCGTATGGGTGAATTTTAATTGGTCATATGGCTTCAGCCCTTGTGTCCTCACCTGACTTCCATCATTCTTGGTCCACAGCTTTTCCAGTTCAGCTTCCCAGGATGAAGCAGCAGAGTTTGCTAAAGGGAGAAGGCACGGCGCAAGCAGAGTTCAGGCAGGTATAAAGTTGTTACTGCTGTTTTTAGGTCAGAACCCTATGTACGACAGAATGACACTGCTCAGTCTTGCACCATCCTCACAATTGCTGCCATGCTTGAGCCCACTGTCATAGTCACTATGTTAATCCACCTCACTGATGATCTTCCCCTTCTTCCCTGACCCTCCATTTTATCCAGCTTATCCTTCTCCAGGGACTGATCCATTCTGACAACATGGCCAAAGTA